CATATTATAATCTCATTTGAGAGAAATAAAATGTAAATATTGCATTTATGAAGAAAATATTATAATGAAAAAAAAAATTTAATAATAATAATATAATTCATTTATTAACTACAATTTAATTCTTCTTGGTTATTATAAAAATTTATTATAAATAAAAATAATTTTTATTGTTTTATTTATTTCCAAAATTTTTATCATAGAAATGGGAACAAATTTAAAATCAAATCAAGATTTTCATAATTCTATAGATTTTACATCAAACATATCATCAACATCATCGCTATCACCTAATAACAACATGTCAAAATCTCGTCGTGACTCTTCTTCGCACCTTCAACAATTTTATTATCAAAATCACAATAACAAACAATTAAAACTACAACAACAACATCACAATGAAGCTGAAGAATATGAATTAATTGAAAAGAATATCATCACGTCCCAAGGCGTCGAAGAACTCTTTGATAAAGTTTTAAAATTAGTACAACCTCAACAAAGGAAATTATCAATGTCAATGTCAATGTCATTATCACCATCATTATCAGCTTCTATAGCCAGTAACCCTAATAATCCTAATAATCCTAATACCTTATTCTCATCTCCTACATCTACATCAATGTCTGCATCTACATTTCCTACATCTACGTCATCTTCCATAAAAGGAAACAAACCATTTTTACAAAAGTCATCATTATCATCGCCCTCTTCTTTATTATCAGCACCAACAGAAATCGGTAAACCTTTAGCTATGGAAAGACAATCATTAGATCGCCCTTTAGTTAAAACAACCGCAAAAAAAAATCGGTTCACTACAATATAACAACAGCATCATTACAATCAATAACAATATCATTATTAATAGGAATAAAGACTTTCAATGTTATGGTCTTTTTGCTCAATCAAATATATCATTAGGGAATTTCATTGCAGAGTATAAAGGTGAAGTTTGTTTAAAATCAGACTACAAAGATAATCCTACAAATGGATACAAAGATCTTGGCACCACGAAGCCATATGTTTTATTTTATCCAACATTAGATTTGTGTGTAGATGCTCGTCGTTATGGAACATATGCAAGGTTTGTTAGACGTTCATGTAATCCTAATGCTGAAACACGAACAATGTATATTAATGATGGTATAGTTAAAGATCGCCAATTACATTTGGGTATATTTGCCAAATGTGATATAATGCAAAATCAAGAAATAACAGTTGGTTGGAACTGGGATAATCAACATGTTGCTCATATTTTTATAAGGAAAGATGGCGGTGGTGATGTTGGTGGTAAAGGAAGAGACAACGATGATTTAGATCAAGTCATTGATTTAAATAAAAGGATTCAAATGGGTACCGTCGTTTACAATTTGTTAAAGTTTACAGAATGTGCCTGTGAAGATAAAAATAATTGTGTTATTGAGAAAATGAAGAATTACGCAAAGAAACCAAAAGATGATTTGACTAAAAATAAAGAAGGTATGATAAATTTAATTTAATTAATGATTTAAAATTAATTAATCAAAAATTAATTTTTAAATATTGTTATTTTAGGTTATTATTTTGACCCGCAACAAAGCAATAATCCATATAATAAGAGAAAAATACAAGTTTCATCTTATGGTTAGTTGGTACTATTCCTTTATATATATATATATATATATGTGTGTGTGTGTGTTGTAATTCACAAAATAATAAAATAATAGAATAATAATAACAATAATAATAATAATAACAATTTTTAAAGCAGATAACAATAAAAACAATGAACCAACAGCTGCTGCGCTCGCTTACGGCCTTGAAAAATCGGAAGATAAATTAATCGCCGTTTACGATTTAGGTGGTGGTACTTTTGATATAAGTATATTGGAAATTCAAAAGGGTGTTTTTGAAGTTAAATCAACAAATGGAAATACTCATTTGGGTGGCGAGGATTTTGATAATAAACTTGTTAAATATTTGGTGGATAAATTTAAAAAAGATGTATGTTTGTCTTATTGTGTTTGTTTATTTTAGTAATCAAGTAATGATTATATATACTTAAATATATATTAATAAATGTTATTATTACTAACTTAGGAAGGAATTGATCTATCTCAAAATTCAATGGCAATTCAACGCATAAGGGAAGCTTCTGAAAAAGCAAAAATCGAATTATCATCTACACTCCAGGCAATAATCTCTTAAATTTATTATTAATTATAATTTATTTTTTAAAAAAAATTTGATCTTTATTAATTATCATTGGTCAAAATAGACCGAGATCAATTTACCATTTATTACAGCTGATAATTCAGGACCTAAACATATCAATTTCACATTGTCACGTGCAACTTTTGAATCTTTGACAGATGATTTAATTCAAAAAACTATTACACCATGTAAACAGGCAATGAAAGATGCTAATGTTGATAAAAAAGATATCAGGGAAATAATTTTAGTTGGTGGTATGACCAGAGTGCCCAAGGTATTCGAGTCTGTCAAATCAATATTCAATCGTGAACCAACAAAAAGTGTTAATCCAGATGAAGCAGTTGCTATTGGTGCTGCAATTCAAGGTGGTGTATTGGCCGGTGAGGTGTCTGATTTATTATTATTAGACGTAACACCATTGTCACTTGGTATCGAGACATTGGGTGGTGTATTTGCACGTCTTATAAACAAAAATACAACTATTCCCACAAAGAAATCGCAAGTTTTTTCAACAGCTGTTGATGGACAAACTAAAGTTGAAATTAAAGTTTATCAAGGTGAAAGAGAACTTGTTCGTGATAATAAATTCCTTGGTAATTTCCAATTGGATGGAATTCCACCCGCTCCAAAAGGTGTTCCACAAGTCGAGGTTACCTTTAATATTGATGCTGATGGAATAGTAAATGTGTCAGCACAAGATAAAGCTACTTCAAAAGATCAATCAAGTATGTAACAACAACAATTAAATTATTCTTGCTAAATATATATTTATCTTAATTAAAAAACTTTTTTTTTCCAGTAACGATTGCTGCATCATCTGGATTAAGTAAACAAGAAATTGAAAAGATGATACACGAAGCTGAATCACATGCAGATGCAGATCGATTGAGGAAGGAAATAGTTGAGGCAACAAATCATGCAGATTCAGTTATATATGAAACTGAAAAAGCAATGACCGAATATCACGATCGACTCAATCAATCAGAAGTTGATAGTGTTAAATCTCTAATTCAGGAGTTACGTGATATGGTCGCTAGTTCGCAACACAGTGTTCAAGATGAATCTGATTTGTCATCATCGTCAGGTAAAGCTGAAGATATTAGATTGAAAGCTGCCGATTTACAAAAAGCCAGTTTGAAATTGTTTGAAGCAATGTATAAGGTACATATTATTGTTTGTTTGTTTGTCAGTAAAAGATAATCCTTTTAAGAAAATTAAAATTAAAAATCATTAATAAAAATAGGGAAATACTGAAAGTGAAGGAGGACAATCTGGTGAAAGTGGTGGTGAGTCAGAAGGTGAATATCGAGATGTTAAAGATGACAAAGACAAATAAATAAATAATCTTGGAAAATAATTTTTGGATTTTATGATTATTTTTGTTAACACAAAATAAAAGATATTAAAAATTTTTCGATTGATTCTATCTTAATGTGAAATTGAGTGTTTGGAATACCATGTGAATTTATTCATCCAAACATCCCCCCATATTTAATTTGTTAATGTCAACAACACTTTCATATTAATGTAATGTTGCTATTTTTTAAACCATCTTTATTCTTTCATAATCTGTGATACTGTCTAGTAGTAAATAATTGAATAATAGGTGGTGATAAACATTTTCTGATAATTTGTCCACATTCAGGAGAAACTTTAAAGTAATTAATTTGAAATTCTGAATCCAGTTCAAAGTTATTAATTGTACGTATTTGCATAGTTTGATGGATTATAAATAATTAAATAATGGAGTCAAATAACTCTTTTTTAACATTATCGCCATTACCGTCTCTTTTATATGGGAAAAAGGGACCCCCTTTTTCCTAGAGTGCCCTCCATATAATAAAAAAACTTTCGGTCATAAAAGTAATTATTATACATTGCAGCTTAAAAGTTAAATTTGATTAATTAGTAATAACGATTAGCAATTTGAAAAATATAATGTATTTTTAAAAAAAAAATTTATTTAACTTTGAATGATTTATATTTACAGATTAAATAACGTATTTATATATATGTGTGTGTATACGATAATTTTATCGTAATCAAATGACCCATCTAATTACTATAATAAAAAATAAAATAATTTGATCTATCTTCTATTTCTACGATAATCCTATGAATCAAAAAAAAAATTTAATAATAATAATATAATTCATTTATTAACTACAATTTAATTCTTCTTGGTTATTATAAAAATTTATTATAAATAAAAATAATTTTTATTGTTTTATTTATTTCCAAAATTTTTATCATAGAAATGGGAACAAATTTAAAATCAAATCAAGATTTTCATAATTCTATAGATTTTACATCAAACATATCATCAACATCATCGCTATCACCTAATAACAACATGTCAAAATCTCGTCGTGACTCTTCTTCGCACCTTCAACAATTTTATTATCAAAATCACAATAACAAACAATTAAAACTACAACAACAACATCACAATGAAGCTGAAGAATATGAATTAATTGAAAAGAATATCATCACGTCCCAAGGCGTCGAAGAACTCTTTGATAAAGTTTTAAAATTAGTACAACCTCAACAAAGGAAATTATCAATGTCAATGTCAATGTCATTATCACCATCATTATCAGCTTCTATAGCCAGTAACCCTAATAATCCTAATAATCCTAATACCTTATTCTCATCTCCTACATCTACATCAATGTCTGCATCTACATTTCCTACATCTACGTCATCTTCCATAAAAGGAAACAAACCATTTTTACAAAAGTCATCATTATCATCGCCCTCTTCTTTATTATCAGCACCAACAGAAATCGGTAAACCTTTAGCTATGGAAAGACAATCATTAGATCGCCCTTTAGTTAAAACAACCGCAAAAAAAATCGGTTCACTACAATATAACAACAGCATCATTACAATCAATAACAATATCATTATTAATAGGAATAAAGACTTTCAATGTTATGGTCTTTTTGCTCAATCAAATATATCATTAGGGAATTTCATTGCAGAGTATAAAGGTGAAGTTTGTTTAAAATCAGACTACAAAGATAATCCTACAAATGGATACAAAGATCTTGGCACCACGAAGCCATATGTTTTATTTTATCCAACATTAGATTTGTGTGTAGATGCTCGTCGTTATGGAACATATGCAAGGTTTGTTAGACGTTCATGTAATCCTAATGCTGAAACACGAACAATGTATATTAATGATGGTATAGTTAAAGATCGCCAATTACATTTGGGTATATTTGCCAAATGTGATATAATGCAAAATCAAGAAATAACAGTTGGTTGGAACTGGGATAATCAACATGTTGCTCATATTTTTATAAGGAAAGATGGCGGTGGTGATGTTGGTGGTAAAGGAAGAGACAACGATGATTTAGATCAAGTCATTGATTTAAATAAAAGGATTCAAATGGGTACCGTCGTTTACAATTTGTTAAAGTTTACAGAATGTGCCTGTGAAGATAAAAATAATTGTGTTATTGAGAAAATGAAGAATTACGCAAAGAAACCAAAAGATGATTTGACTAAAAATAAAGAAGGTATGATAAATTTAATTTAATTAATGATTTAAAATTAATTAATCAAAAATTAATTTTTAAATATTGTTATTTTAGGTTATTATTTTGACCCGCAACAAAGCAATAATCCATATAATAAGAGAAAAATACAAGTTTCATCTTATGGTTAGTTGGTACTATTCCTTTATATATATATATATATATATGTGAGTGTGTTAGTTGTAATTCACAAAATAATAAAATAATAGAATAATAATAACAATAATAATAATAATAACAATTTTTAAAGCAGATAACAATAAAAACAATGATGACAACGATCAAGACGAAGAGATAGAAATAGAAGAAGTTTACTCGCCTACTTTTAATCAAATAAACAATAATAAATACACTGCATCATCATCGTCATCATCAAAATATAATAATCCACCAAAATTTTATGAATCTGACGTGAATTTTCAAGAATTTTTAGATTTATGGATGAATTGTCTGCAATCTACTACATATATTACAAACAATTCAATGATTATCGATCATAATGCTAATACTACTACTACTAACACTGTTGCTGCTGCCACGTACAATAAACCTTCTACTAACACTGTTAGTGCTACTGATATTGCTACATACCAAAACAAATCTTCAACTTCAATTAGCAGCAGTAACAACAAGGGCAGTAAAGAATCAGAGGTCGTTAAATCGATGGAGTTAGATTATGTTGACAGAAATGAATATAATAATAGATCAGAGATGAAAGGAATTAACATAGACGATGATAAAAAATCAAAAGGACTTGATAATAGTAGTAGTCATAATAATTACAACAAGATTATTGATTTAGAACATGATACCGGAGCAATGCATTCACAAAGTTCTACTATTGTTACAACTACTACACCTACAACTGCGATTAATAGTGGTAGGAAATCAAGATATGTTTCATTTAGTAGTCAGTTTCCTTATTCCACAAATCCAAATCAATCTAAGCCTAATGCAGACGCTAAAAGTGAGATTAGTAGTTTAATTGATAAAAATGAAGAGTATTCAAGTAAATTAGATTTTAAACCATCATCGAAAAGACGTAAACTAAGTCCCACTAGAGAACCAGTTTTATTTCCTTCTAATTTATCTTCTATCGAAAATAAGTATATGGAAATTGTAAAAGATCATCAACCACAGCAATCAAATATAAGCAAAACATCATCATCACCTTCAACTTTATCAACTAATATTGATATACGTAATCAATCAACAACATCATCACCTGCATCTTACACAAACAATAATGATGACGATGATGATAAATTAAATTTAAAAAATACACAATTAGACTCTTTTAAACACACACAAATCAATTTATCGAAACCATCACCAAAAACAACTTCATCGTCATTACATCTTGATACAACTACAAAAATATCTAACATATTATCATCATCTAAATCGCCAATATTAACTTCACCAACTGTAACAACTTCAATACCTGAAATATCAAAAAATACTTCATCAACATTATCACCATCGTCACAATATCACACAAATAAAACTTTCAATCCAACAATAAAAGCTTTGCCGTCAACAATAACGACGGCACCATCGTCATCATCATGTCGTCATTTAGAAACATTAAAAACAACTAACACCTCGCATTTAAATATTTACCCCAATAAATCTCCATCAATAAATACCAACATTTCTAAAAATTTACAATCTGACTTTACAAAATCACAAGAAACAACTACGAAACCAAACATTACCATCAACGCCACCACAAATAATAATATCACATCTTCTACAGCCAAAACTCAATCAACTGAATCCAAGAAAAAAACACTTTCACTTTCAGAATATAAACAAATGAAAGTTCTAACCGGTTCTTCGTTGACTTCGAAAACTGAAGAATCAAAGAAACCATTAATAGAATCTCAATCAAACAATACACCGTCATCATCATCACCATCTACTACATTACCAATGCTAACGTCAATAACGTCAACAACTACTAATACTAATGCTACATCAATAATATCTTCGACACAAACATCACTACCGCCATTATCTTCACCATCTAAATTTTCTACCGCTACTACTGAACAACAAAGTAAAACCGAATTAAATAATATTAATAAAATTGAAGAAATGCACTCATCGTACTCTACCACTACCCCTCCCAATATATTAACAACATATTATAAACAGCAATCGTCAACGTCATCATCATCATTTCCTCCATCTACATCATCAACAAAAATAACGGAGGACAACAACAAGAATGACAATTCTAGCTCACCAGATAGTCAAATAGTTGCAATGACAAATGATGGTTATTTCCCGGTAGATTTCAATATCGATCTTCCGATCACTTCTTCGCATATTTCTAAATCAAAAGACTACTTGCCAACGTCATATGAATATCACACATCAAAAGATATTGATTCTATAAACCAAACTGAATATAGGAGATCTTCTTCCTCCTCTTCTTCAAAACCACCACTAATATCTCCACGCGGAATACCACCACCACGTAGTTATCATAATGGAGGTGGTGGCAGCGGTAGTGGTAGCAGTCATTACAGAGTTGGAAAGTCATCATCAGGTGGCCATTTTAGAGGTATGCCTACATCACCAGGTGAAAGAGGTGGAGGAGGAAGATATCATGGAGGTCTGGGTAATTTTAATTCACCAGATTCGTCACCTGTCACACAAAGACGTCCAACGGTTCCATCACCGCCATCACCGCCACCACCACCTTCTTCCTCTTCAATATTAATGTCACCATCATCGTCCTCACCTTATGATCCAGAAAATCCAGATGGACAACCAATACTGTCATCAACAACTAATAATGATCGGGATCAAATTCAATCAATTGATAACAGTGGTTTAATAAATGGTGGTGGTATGCCTAGTAGTAGTGGTAGTGGTGGTGGATTTGATGGGCAATCAAGAGATTATATGAGATCTATTGATGTTAGAGATAGAGGATGGGGTACGCATGATCGTACTAGAGAATGGAGAGAACGTGAGAGAGAACGTGAAGAATGTGGCAAAAGAAATGAAGATTATCGACTTCAAAGGTTCCCTGGTGATGTATGTATTATTTAGTTTGCTTGTTTTTTATTATTGTTATTAATGTAATGCTATAAGTTAAAAAAAATTTTTTTTTTGATTCATAGGATTATCGTAGAAATAGAAGATAGATCAAATTATTTTATTTTTTATTATAGTAATTAGATGGGTCATTTGATTACGATAAAATTATCGTATACACACACATATATATAAATACGTTATTTAATCTGTAAATATAAATCATTCAAAGTTAAATAAATTTTTTTTTTAAAAATACATTATATTTTTCAAATTGCTAATCGTTATTACTAATTAATCAAATTTAACTTTTAAGCTGCAATGTATAATAATTACTTTTATGACCGAAAGTTTTTTTATTATATGGAGGGCACTCTAGGAAAAAGGGGGTCCCTTTTTCCCATATAAAAGAGACGGTAATGGCGATAATGTTAAAAAAGAGTTATTTGACTCCATTATTTAATTATTTATAATCCATCAAACTATGCAAATACGTACAATTAATAACTTTGAACTGGATTCAGAATTTCAAATTAATTACTTTAAAGTTTCTCCTGAATGTGGACAAATTATCAGAAAATGTTTATCACCACCTATTATTCAATTATTTACTACTAGACAGTATCACAGATTATGAAAGAATAAAGATGGTTTAAAAAATAGCAACATTACATTAATATGAAAGTGTTGTTGACATTAACAAATTAAATATGGGGGGATGTTTGGATGAATAAATTCACATGGTATTCCAAACACTCAATTTCACATTAAGATAGAATCAATCGAAAAATTTTTAATATCTTTTATTTTGTGTTAACAAAAATAATCATAAAATCCAAAAATTATTTTCCAAGATTATTTATTTATTTGTCTTTGTCATCTTTAACATCTCGATATTCACCTTCTGACTCACCACCACTTTCACCAGATTGTCCTCCTTCACTTTCAGTATTTCCCTATTTTTATTAATGATTTTTAATTTTAATTTTCTTAAAAGGATTATCTTTTACTGACAAACAAACAAACAATAATATGTACCTTATACATTGCTTCAAACAATTTCAAACTGGCTTTTTGTAAATCGGCAGCTTTCAATCTAATATCTTCAGCTTTACCTGACGATGATGACAAATCAGATTCATCTTGAACACTGTGTTGCGAACTAGCGACCATATCACGTAACTCCTGAATTAGAGATTTAACACTATCAACTTCTGATTGATTGAGTCGATCGTGATATTCGGTCATTGCTTTTTCAGTTTCATATATAACTGAATCTGCATGATTTGTTGCCTCAACTATTTCCTTCCTCAATCGATCTGCATCTGCATGTGATTCAGCTTCGTGTATCATCTTTTCAATTTCTTGTTTACTTAATCCAGATGATGCAGCAATCGTTACTGGAAAAAAAAAGTTTTTTAATTAAGATAAATATATATTTAGCAAGAATAATTTAATTGTTGTTGTTACATACTTGATTGATCTTTTGAAGTAGCTTTATCTTGTGCTGACACATTTACTATTCCATCAGCATCAATATTAAAGGTAACCTCGACTTGTGGAACACCTTTTGGAGCGGGTGGAATTCCATCCAATTGGAAATTACCAAGGAATTTATTATCACGAACAAGTTCTCTTTCACCTTGATAAACTTTAATTTCAACTTTAGTTTGTCCATCAACAGCTGTTGAAAAAACTTGCGATTTCTTTGTGGGAATAGTTGTATTTTTGTTTATAAGACGTGCAAATACACCACCCAATGTCTCGATACCAAGTGACAATGGTGTTACGTCTAATAATAATAAATCAGACACCTCACCGGCCAATACACCACCTTGAATTGCAGCACCAATAGCAACTGCTTCATCTGGATTAACACTTTTTGTTGGTTCACGATTGAATATTGATTTGACAGACTCGAATACCTTGGGCACTCTGGTCATACCACCAACTAAAATTATTTCCCTGATATCTTTTTTATCAACATTAGCATCTTTCATTGCCTGTTTACATGGTGTAATAGTTTTTTGAATTAAATCATCTGTCAAAGATTCAAAAGTTGCACGTGACAATGTGAAATTGATATGTTTAGGTCCTGAATTATCAGCTGTAATAAATGGTAAATTGATCTCGGTCTATTTTGACCAATGATAATTAATAAAGATCAAATTTTTTTAAAAAATAAATTATAATTAATAATAAATTTAAGAGATTATTGCCTGGAGTGTAGATGATAATTCGATTTTTGCTTTTTCAGAAGCTTCCCTTATGCGTTGAATTGCCATTGAATTTTGAGATAGATCAATTCCTTCCTAAGTTAGTAATAATAACATTTATTAATATATATTTAAGTATATATAATCATTACTTGATTACTAAAATAAACAAACACAATAAGACAAACATACATCTTTTTTAAATTTATCCACCAAATATTTAACAAGTTTATTATCAAAATCCTCGCCACCCAAATGAGTATTTCCATTTGTTGATTTAACTTCAAAAACACCCTTTTGAATTTCCAATATACTTATATCAAAAGTACCACCACCTAAATCGTAAACGGCGATTAATTTATCTTCCGATTTTTCAAGGCCGTAAGCGAGCGCAGCAGCTGTTGGTTCATTAATCACTCTTTTTACTTCAAGTCCAGCTATTTGACCTGCATCTTTTGTTGCTTGGCGTTGTGGTTCATCGAAATAGGCTGGTACAGTAATTACTACAATAGAATTATGCGATCTTGTTCATGAGCATATATATGTGGGAGTAAATGGTTTAATATACACATATAATTTTTTTATAATAAATAAATAAATTGCCTGCATGTTTTACTGGTTTTCCTAAATATGATTCTTTTAGATTTAAAGTTAAAATAAAATAATCATTATTAATCGTTAATAATATAAAAAAAAAAAACAAAAGGTATAAAAAACTCAATTAGCTCATTCATTGAATCCATACCAGCTGTATCTTTCATTTTTCCAACAACGAATGCACCAATTTGTGCAGGACTATATTTTTTGCCTCTTGACTCCAACCATGCATCACCATTAGTGTGTTCAATAATTTTATATGGAACATTACTGATGTCTTGTTGAACTACTTTATCTTTAAATCGACGACCGATTAATCGTTTTGTAGCAAAAAACGTATTCTCGGGATTAACAACAGCCTATACGAGTACGTATACATAAATATGAGTGTGTATAAATCTTTTTTAACATAATTTTTTGCCGCGTACGTACCTGACGTTTTGCAGGCAATCCAACCAATAATTCACCATTCTTTGAAAAAGCAACAACTGAAGGAGTTGTCCGACCACCTTCGCTATTTTCAATCACACGCGGGGTTTTCCCCTCCATAACTGCCACACAACTATTAGTTGTCCCTAAATCTATACCAATTATACTTCCTGTAACTTTCGAATTACCGCTTTTATTATTTTATTGATCAGTTTGTTTGTTAGTTGATAATTTGAAAAGATATATTTGTAAATTCTTTAAATTAAATTAAATAAACTTTTATTTTGATGAATTTACCTTGCTCTTCGTGAAAGTATGGAATGTATTTTGTTCCTATCAAAAGCCTTAATATAAATCATATATAATTATATTATTGTTTTTATGAATCTCGAAATTAATTCATACAAAATAAAAATGTACTCATGCATACAGATTGATTATTAGTCTTTAAAGCAACAGAATAACGAGGAAATGTTGGTAATAATTTTGTATAAATCATTTTTGGTTTTTGGAAAATGAAAGTTTATTTTTTTTTTCTCGAGAAATGATTAAAAAATATGTTGTTAATCTAATTGAGGATTTAGTGTCTTCCCAAAAAAAGTAATATAATTTCTATATAGATATTGTACACCAACTCTTAATCCGATAAAAAAATTATCCGACTTTGAAACATTTTTTTGGAGAATTCACCAGTAACTATGTTCGTTGTGATAAGCATTACAAGGTTACTGGCTGGTTTACCAAAAAAATGTCTCTATGCTGAATTGAAAGGTTCAAAGTTGGAATACTTTTATAAGCTCCGCCAAAAATAAAAACGTCGATCATTACCAATTTAGTATTTAGCGTAACTTAGTCGCGTGCTAAGATTTTTCTATTGGGTACCTTCTTATATTTCCATGACTTTCTTATATCTGGAATTACTCTCAACAAATCATCATATTTATAAGTGCATCTCCTTCTTTCCAGATCAGTGTTGGCAATTGGATTTATTGGGCTGGTCAAAGTAGTCTAGTCTGGAGTTACCTCCCAAAACTCATGAATTTAGAACTATTCGAATTAGAACCATTCTAAACTGGTTTAGAAAATGAGCCTAAATTCCTATACTGTTTGAAACTCCTAAACTGTTTTTGAAATTCCTAACTGTTAAACTGTTTCGAAACTCTAGCTGTTTCTTTATTTTTTATTTTTTTCTTATTATTAATAAAATTTTTAAAAAATATTAATTTTTTACACATTTGGTGGAGGTAAAATTCAGGAATTGCATCAAAATCAAATACTTCTTCCATACTCTCATCTTCTATCATTTAAATCATCATAATCCTCATTAAATGTTGATTATTTAAATCAACCATCTCATTAACAATTAAAACATAAACTTCTTCATTTGGTATTTCTAATTCTTTATCATCACTATCATCTTCATCAAGTCATCAAAAAACCCACTTCCTTGGACTAGAGATCTTGGTTCTTTTTCAGATTTTTCTTTAGATTCATAATTCAATTCATTTTTAATATTCAAATACAAATAATACCTAATTTTTGCCATATCTTTAATTGTAAACAAATTAAGGCAATTTTTATTCATATTCTGTCCACCACCTTTAATACCATACTCATCAATATATTTCTTAATAATGTTCCAGATCTGTGAGAAGTTTTCTGATTCTGTTGCATTGTCTAATGACTTTATATGGGCAGGTGTGCTCCAATTATAATGTTTTAAAATATAGATTATTAAACTATAGATAAGATTAAAAAAGCCTAAATTTTAAAAAAACATACTCATAATACCTTTTGTTATCAAATTTGCATAATGTGCTATACAATTGTATTCAAAATGAAAGAATATTTTCAGAAATTGTTTCTTGCATTTAAGAATTGCTGAAACATTGTCACTCACTACAGCTGCAAATTTGTTTGATCCAATTCTGGATAAAACATGTTCAATTTCATCTCTTAAAATTTTTGCAGTATGACTAAAGACACCTACCATAATTGGTTATTTGCAGCAATGGTAACCATTATAAAATATTTACAGCTGCTGCAAATAGGTATGGCTGCCATAAATAGGACCAGTTGTACAAACAGATGTGGCTGCTACAAATAGCTATGGCTGCTGTAAATTTTATTTTTACACATTTCACTGTAAATAAATGAATTCATCAATTTGGGCACTGACATATATTAGCTAATATCATTTTAATAGTAACACTTACTCCCCCCACCCCCAGGTAAGACATTTTGATCACGTGTACGACAATCATTTGCCTTTTTAGGTATCAACAAAGCACAAGTGAAAAAAAATTAATTTTATTAATAAACCGAATATTTTAAAAGCAACATTGGAGTAAATAAATTTTCCTTTATAATATATCATGATCTCTTGGAATTTCTGGGTATG